GCCACTGTAGGCGTTGGCAGATGCTATGGCTGTTTGAACTCTGAACATTCTATTGTTAAGAAAGATTTCATTATGTACTATCAAATTAAATTTTTAAAAATATGAACATAGAAGGAAAGTTTTGAATTAGACAACTTAGGCACTACAAATACCAATGTCCTAGAAGAAATGCAGGAAAGATGGATAGAGGATAAAGGGCTCCTTCAGACCACTATAGCACTGAAAGTCATTTTTTTAAAAAATCACCATATTGAACACACTTGAGCTTCTGTTGACTGTGTCTCTTCTTCTAGCAACCTGAAATATGTAGCTAATAATATCACATAGCAGCTTTGTGTAAAAGGGGAATAAGTTTTAATGACATTGCTTACTTTCTGCAGAAAATTCTGGGGTTTGGCTTATTGGTGATCATTTGAGTTTAACTTATTTAACTATTAATATAACGAAAGTTTTCTAACAATTTAACATAAGCATGGAAAGTTGTCAAGACATGGGCTGAATTATACAGTTATTTTGATTTTTTTTTAATTCACAAAGGATCCCCACAAAATCTTTCACATTCATCTCCTGCTCTCCTCTTACACCGTGTGTGCTGTAGTTCAGGCCTTCATCACCTTTCACCAGGACTATGACAACAGCCTCCTAATTGATCTCCGTGATTATGTCTCCCCCAAACTTCTTTAATCTAATACTTTAAGTCTAGAGGAACTATAATGGCCCTTGTCATTCATGTGGTTCCTTCCTCTGAACGTCTGGTAGTTTATTTTAAGTGGAAAGTTATAAATTCAGTCGTAATTGTTCTAAACCCCCAAATAGGAAAATCCCTACTATTCAGAAAGAAGCTGAATAATCTTAATCTACATTTATATCTACTCTTATTAGCCCTTGGCTTCTTTGTAGTTAAAGCATAATTCAGATTATAGGGGAGAAAAATAGGTAATGAAACTGCAGATTATTTTATTGTGTCTATGATTAGAAAGGCACTGGGAGAGAAAATTGGGGGAAAACAAACTTGGGACTTCCCTTAGTCCTTTAGTAAATGGGTACATTGGTGTAACAGTCTTCTGCTCTGAGATGTCTGTTGGGCTAATGGCTGTCCTCAATATGTATGTTGTCTATGTATGTGTGTATGTGTGTGTATGTATGTGTATATACATGTGTATACACATATGTATACACACACAGATACATATATATCCATTCACTGACATAACAATCCTGATGGCCCATGGGCTTCTAAATTTTTCTGTTTCAGTTCCGTATGTCCTTACTCCTTCCCCTCTATAGCTAGACTCTCAGAATTTCACCTGATTTCTAACATCACTCTTCCCTTTTTACACAAGTTTCTTAAGACATGACTAAGGTTCTCAAGAAATGGCTTTGATTAATTCAAGAAGATGTACAGGCCCTGTTCACAGTCTACACTGGGGTATGATTGATTCATTCACTCAAGAAACATTCTTACCTAACAAAGGTAATTCATTTTAAGGGGGCTGGGTAATCAATACAGCCCCACATTCACATCAACATTCCTCAAGCACAATTCTGATCATGTCACTCCTCCAGTCAAGAAGCTTCAATCTCTCTCTTGCTTCTAGGAACAAATCCAAGCTCCTCATGTTGGAATTTAAAGCCATTCAAAATAAAATGTCCGCTTACTTTTCCACCCGTGCTGTACATTACTCCCCTTCACACACTTTATAGTCCTCTCAAACTGGCCTTGTTGTTGTTCCTCACACACAGGACTCCATTTTCTATCTGTATGCCTTTACTTGATGCTCTGGCCAGACTGGCCTACTTTCTTCTATTCCCTATAAATGACATATAATTTTCCCACTCTACTCCTTTGCACAGTCTATGTCTAGAACGCTTTCTCTCCTTACTTTAGCTTCTAGGAGCCTAGAGTGCCCTTCAAAGGCAAGAGTCAAAATTCTGCCATCTAAACAATGTCTTTCTTACATTCCTCATTTATTACTGTTTTTGTCCCACTGCGTAACTTTCCATTTACTTTTTGTTTAATTTTTATTTCCTTATCTGTGTATACTTGTTCTCCCACTTCCATCTCCTATAAATTATAAGTTCGTTGAGGCAGAGATCATTTTGGTTTTGTCTTCATATAGTCAACACCTAACACATTTCCTTGCAAACAGATTTAACCAACTTCTAAGAAGCTGAAAATTGAATAGTAAGGAAACGGGGCAGGAGTTGAGGGGAATCTGAAGGATGCCTCACTCATCACTGCATCCAGGACGACATGAGTAGATTGTTGAGTGATGGCCACTGGCTGAGGTCATGGTACCTATCTCATGTAGAAGAGCAGGAAAAGACACAGCGGAGTGGAACGAGGTGATTACCAGACTACAGAGGAGGAGTAACATAGTAACTCATATGTCCTAGGGTCAGTGAGTAACACCAATTCAGTTAACAATAAATACCTTTCTTTTAGGTGACAGTCAGTGGTCATCACTCTGTATGTACAGTTTCAGAAGTAGTCCTGGCTGGTTCTCCCCTTTATCCCCCAATTTCTTCAGCATGGCTGCCATTCTTTCCTCCTATAAGCTCTCAATGTTTCTCAAAAGTCCATTCAAAGTCAAAAGCAAAACCACAGGAACCATAAGAACTCTAAATAACCTAACTAACTTAGAGTCTGGCCTACCAAATTTCCATGGTAACAATTTGAGGGAGAGGAATCCCAAGTTACATTCATTACAACTTCAAGTACTATAGCTAGGACTTTAAATTCTTTAAAAAATCCTCAATAAAAGTACCACCAGTTTTTTCAATAAAATAACAAATACTAGCCACTTGGAAACTCTGCCTACAGGTGAAGTGATTAGGGTATAATCTATTTCACAAGCTAATAAACCACTCCTGTTGCTTCTTTCTCTATTTTGCTTCTACCTCTCTCTCGTTCTTTCTCTTTCCTTTTTTTAAACTCCTTTGTCACTTTATATCATTCTCTCCATTCTTCAATGTCTTTGGTTTCATTCCTTTTCCTATATCTCTCTTCTCTCTGTGTTTCTTCTCCTAAAACACTGTCCCCTCTTCATTTTCTCTCATTCTGTTCTTCCCTTTCTTTTCATCTTAATTACACTAAGCCTATACAGAGAAAAGTTCTATTTATAAGTGGAAAACAAAATAAACAAATAACTTATATTGCCCAGATTATGATATGAGGCTGGACAGGCAGACCAGGGATTTAGTATATTAATATATCTGTTTCAAACAACTACTGTGGATTGATCATAGTTAAACCTAAGCTGAGCAGGAGGAAGAGATATGTTAATGCTTTTGGAAAACTGTGGTGTTTTCAATGATCCTAAACTATTTATATCTCTAAAAGGCCAATAACTTAACAATAACAGTCCACCAGTGACACTATGTGGCTGTGACTCTTTGACTACCATTATCTTAAAAGAATTAAAATGACAAAAAACCAAAAGGATAATGAAATTTTATGGTGGACCTAAGCAGGTTGAAGCATTTTACTCAGAATAGTTTTTGTTCAAGGTGTCACATATGACATTACAGGTGACAGAACCAGAAGAAGAGGTAGATCTTTCCTGTGGTGAGAATGAGAGACAACAGATGGATGGATAACCCATGTGGTATGCTGATACCTCTGGGACATTAAAAGGACAAAAGGAAATCTTTCATGCAAGGGATAGATCTTCTTGGGATGATTTGATAGAATGAAAATAGGCACAAGACTCCTACTTGGTGAAAAGGTAGAAAGGACTTGTGCTCAGCTGGGAGACTGAAACCACACCATTGAGTTGCTAGCAATGAACCCTAAAATTTGAGTGACTGATAGGTTTAACCATCGCAGCAGCCTCAAAATATTTTTATCAAAAGAAATGAATCTCCAGTTTCAAAAATATGAAAGGAAGTCTGTCCTGCACTTGTTTTCCTACCCAACCAGACCACTAAAAAGGAAAACATCTAGAAACAACTCTGTTTAAGGGTACCACACACCCTTCCTTCCTTGCCTTTGCAAGTGGATCTGGACCCTTTTCCCAACACTGATATCCAGCCCCACAATGGGTTTAATAAAAACTAGAAGTGTGCATAACACATGCTTGGAACCCACAAGGAGAAAGGTCGCATACAGGGCTGTTGTTATATTATTGCCACTGGATAAGGTTCTAGCAAAACACTGCATTCAGAACTTCTGGCTGGGTTTCCCTTCAGCTCAATTCATTTCAGACCTTCATTGACAAGCATTGTTGCTCAGCAACCTAATACTCAGTTGTTGAACAAATAAATGTTACAGGCTAGCAGTTCTCATTAGTAAGATTTAACCACCAAAGAGTCATTTTTCCTACTGAACACCAGGCTTAAAGAAAGAAGCCAATTCATCACTTCTTAGATGTAATAATGCCCTCTAATGAGGTTAACAGATTCTCACTGACTATGTTAAGGAACAAATTGAACATCATAAAGCAGTTTTGAGAAATGGGTTCTCTCTGAAAGGAACAGAAAGGAATGGAAACATATAGAAAGTGTTTACTATAGGGGCTGCTAGGTGGTGCAGTGTATAGAGCACCGGCCCTGAAGTCAGGAGGACCCGGGTTCAAATACAGCCTCAGACCAAACACTTGACACTTACTAGCTGTGCGACCCTGGGCAAGTCATGTAACCCCAATTGCCTAAAAATAAAAATAAAAAATAAAAAAAAAGAAAGTGCTTACTATGTGTTCTAGAACTGTGCTAAGGGCTAGAAATAAAAGCAACAGGTGCTGCCCTCAGGAAACTTAATTGTAACAGGGGAAGCCGCTCTATAAAATAGAAGCGTGCAGAATGAAGATAGCTAGAAAGCAATGAAGTGAGTTTGATTCCAGGCTATACACGGGTGAATGCTTACTGATCTTAAGCCTCTTGTCCTAGGGTTGGCGCTCAGCATTTCATGACAGAACTGGAATGAACCCACTGCTTATTTAACACAGGAGACAACATTCATGTACCCAGTGCAATGATCACGGGATAGCCGAACCCCTTACCTTACCACACTGCTTACATTTTCCCTCCTGCCGCCGTCTGTGTACCCAGTGATGACGGACAAAATTCTGTAGGGGAAGAAAATAAAATGAGCACCTTTTTGGAAGAAAAATAGCCATTACTTTTCACTTATACTTCTAGAAAATAACTTCTCCCAAAGCATTTTCCAAACCTGCGTAAATGAAGGAAAGATCCCCACCCCCCACCTCCATACACACTCATATGCACAGGTTAATAGTTCAAAACCAGACCTAATTCCTTTAGCTTAATTCCCAAAGCTAATTCTTAAATTCCCTCCCCTGAGATTATCAGCATTTGAGAGAGGATCCTTCATATTAGGAAAGCTGTCAATGAATTCAGGCTTCAGTGGGTTTTGTCTTTGTTTTTGTGTTTGGTTTTGGTTATTGTTTTTTGAGATTAGGTTTCCTTATCTCACACAGAGGACACTCATGACCCTACTGCAATACTGACCAAAAAGGAAACTAACTGACTCTACTTCTCTGACCTAGGCAGCCTAGTGGTCGGTCCTTCACTACCTGGGTCTCCCTATATCGGGGCTGATCCTTGATTAGCTCTAGCCCTACAGTAGCTCAGAATTTGCGAGTCTAGCCCACAGTAATCTGCCACTCCCTTTATCCCCCAATAGCTGAGACTATAGGCATGTGCCAGCACACTAGACCACTATAACAATGAAGGAAAGATTTAAAAAAAAAAAGAAAGAAAGAAAAGAGAAGATAAAAGGAGATAGAAGAGAGAAGACTGAATAGCCTAAACACATTTGTTGTTTAGTCAGTTCAGTTATATCCCACTCTTCATGACCTCATTTGGGGTTTTTTTGGCAAAGATAGTGGAGCAGTCATAAGTACGGGCAAATTAGGGGGATTTGTAATCCCTAAAAATCCAATTTATTAAGCACTTTTTATGTGCCAGGTACAGTGCTAAATACTGGGGATACAATTAAGAAAAACAAAGACAGTCCCTGTCCTCAAAGAGTTTACAATCTAATAGGGGGAGACAACACACAAAAGGGGGAGGGGGGAGAAGAGATCAGAGATTAGAAATGACTTACTGATTACTGTTCCTCATACATGGCACTCCATTTCCTAGCTTTGTGCCTTTGTACTGACTATACCTCATGCTTTCATGTATTCCTTCCTTACCTCCTATTCTCAGAATCTCTATTTTCCTTCAAGATTCACATCAAGGGCCACCTTCTACAAGAGATCTTTCTTGATCCCCCTCCAGCTTCAAGAATCCTCCCTACCTCCAGTCACCTAGTATCTATTTAGCTTATACTTTGTAGATATGTGTATGTGTACATGCAGCCTCCGCCAATGGAATGAAAGCTCCTTGAGGCCAAGAATGTCATTCTTAACTTTGTATCTCCAGTGTCTAGCATGGTGCCTGGCATAGAGTGGGTGCTCAATAAATGCCTGTGAAAAGACTATCAGACACAGTAGCAAGACTTTTTCATGTTACCAAAAGAAGGGAAGAGTAAAGAATGAGTAGAGAAAATGAAAAGAAAAAACTTTATGGGTCAAAGTTCTGTGATGCAGTCGGGGAGGTGGGGCCCAGCCTACCACTTGAAAAACACTTACCTAGATGGTATTTTAGGTCCCTTCTAATCCTAGGATTTGGTGATCCAGAATAAAGAAATTGCTTGACTCATATCAGATAGAAACCTACTTATGGCATGTATCAATACCAGTTTTAGGAGAAAGTATGAAAAAGAAACCAATCCTTGGTGCTGCAAATCTTCATGTAGAATATAATAGCCACATGAAACTGACCAGATTGTTTTTTCAATAAAAATAATATTGAGAAGAAAAAAAAGGAAAATCTCTGAAAAGTTGAGTAAAGTATTATTTTTTTGCTGTGCTATTTTCTGAGCAAACACACCTCAAACTCATGTTTCTGGTAAGCTCCATCCCAAACCACCTTCTCCTCCTTACTAGATTAAGTAAGCAAAAACATCATAAGATCATAGATTTAGAGTGTGAATGGTCCTGGGAGGTCATCTGATTCAAACCCCACCCTGATCCACCCTATTTTACAAATGAGGAACCTCAGCCTAGCAAAGTTAAATTACTGGACCAAGGTCACAAAGATTAGAAGAGCAGGGATTCTAACTCAGGTTCTCTGAGTCCAAATCCAGCACATTTTCCAGGGTATTACACTTCACCCCAGAAACTAAATAGGGCTTTTATAGCATTATGTGAGATGTACTTAGTGATAAGAATAACTCTAATAAGAATGGACACCTTCAGGAGACAAATTTCACATCTCCTTCAGTCTTTAACAAACTATTCATGGATCAAAAGCCCATGGACTTCATTAATAATCTTTATTAATAATCTTTCAAAAATAAAATGGGCACAACATTCCCTAAAATCAGTCTGATTTTCCTCTTGATAGAATTTGACTACAGAAAGCTCCATTCCTGCCCTGTGCCCCAAATAAGCATGTGGACAAATTTTTAAGATGCCATCCAGAGAGATAAGGATCATAGAATTTAGCTCGGAGAGAGACTTTGGAAATTATGTTGTCCAATGCACCTCATTTTTTATGAGGGAATGAGGGAACTAATGCTTAGTTGAAATGATTTCCCTTGGGTCATATAATAATAATAGCTAGCTAGTTAGCATTTACAAAGTGCTTTATGGTTTGCAAAGCACTTTACAAATGTTACCTCAATTTGTCCTCACAATAACCATAAAAGCTTATTCCCATTTTACATATGAGGAAACTGAGGCAGAAGTGACTAGCCCAGGGTCCTAAAGCTACTAAGTGTCTGAGGCTGGGTCTTCCTGAAATCACTGTATTCTATCCACCCAGTTGCCTCTTTCACTACTTTGTGAATTTTACTCTATTGCTATTTAATGGATATATCAGATTGTTATTGTTCAGTTGTTTCAGTCATGACTGACTCTTTGTGACTCCATTTGGGGTTTTCTTGGTAGAGATACTGGAGTGGTTTGCCACTTTCTTCTCCAGCTCATTGGACAGATGAGGAACTGAGGCAAACAGGGCTGAGTGACTTGCCCAGGGTCACACAGCTAGTTAGTCTCTGAGGCCAGATTTGAACTTAAGAAGATGAGTTTCTTGATTCCAAGCCCCCCAAAGAATTTACAATGAAAGAAATAATACTAATACTGAGGGCAACTCAGTATTATTTGAGTGCATCCCTCTGCCTGTCTAGAATATAGAAACCTGTTCTACTGCTAAAAAAAATTCCAGGAAAAAGGTAGCTATGTTTGAGATGTGCAAATATGGCCAGATGTCTATGTTCAATAGAGTGACAGGATTGTTACATGATAGTACATGAGAACACGAAGTACAGAAACCTAAAAATGAAAATTAATATTTCAAATGAGTATGTTAGCTTCCTAAAAAGCCAAATAATTTGGCTAAAAAATAACAAGATTGGGAGTCAACAAAAAGGGATCACTAAAGTTCAAAAGACTACTGAGGAGGGCACGGTTTGGAGGGAACCTGTGGCTTTGAGACATATTTGGATGAAAGTATCTCTGTGTTCTAGAATTCCTAGAAAGGGACACTCAGGAAAAAAACCGAGACTCGATGACTCTAGAGGGCTGGAAGGCATCTCAGAGCTCACTGAATCCAATCCCTTCCTTTTACAGATCAAGAAACAGCAGCTCATTATGGCTCAAAGAGATAGAGGATTTTTAACTCTGGGTTTATGCCTCCAAGTGCTCCAAGTTCAGCCTTTCTGTTTTTCCCATTACTGACCATACTGTCTCTTATTAAGGGCCAAACATGAGGGGAGAAATCATTCTGATAAGCAGAGTCAGTATGATGGAATGGATAGGGAGGGACCTGGGAGTCAAGAAGACCTGGTTTCAAGTCCCGTCTCTGTTACTGGCTACAGCAGAGTCACTTAACCTCTCCATGACTTATAAATTGCCTTGATAGAGAAGTCACTTACTGAGAGTTCCTAGGCAGCTAGATGGCTCACTGGGTATGGCACTGGCCCAGGAGTCAGGAAGAGCTGAGTTAAAACGTCACCTCAGACACTGACTAGTTATGTGAGCTTGAACAAGTCAATTGACCTCTATTTGCCTCCATTTCCTTATCTGCAAAACAGGGGGTAATGATGGCACCTGCCTCCCAGGTCTGCTATGAGAATCAAATGAGATAATAATTGTAAAGAGCATAGTAAGTGCTATATACATGTTAGCTACTAATATTATTATTAAATCACTGGAATCACAGGTCTGGTCAGAACAAGAATGTATCCAAAGGGCTTGCTCATTTCTGCCAATCAACAACATTTGTGCCCTGAAGCATCATGAGCAGTTTTCCTATCCAGTCAAACATCTCAAAAAGTTTCCTCAGATCAAATTTTAAAGATAAATTCAGTTGGAAATGGACAAAAAGAAATACTGAGAAACCAGCCACCACTGGTGAAAGCCACAGAAAAGTAAAACATTTCCACCAAGGGCCAGGTGAAGCAGCCAGGGATGAGAGCTCTCATTACTCATTAATGAAGTAATAACCTTAGTTATTCTGTGCTGCTAAAGCAGAATGAAGGTTGTTAGCTCCCTCTAAATGTGAATGTCCAACATCTAGCTGCCCCACTCTACTGATGACTCTGTTTAGGTCAAACTCACAGAGCTCCTGTTCTGAGCTGAACCAATTTTAAATCTAAATCTTTTGGATTTCAGAACAGTTGTACTCTTCTAGGGTGCAACAGTTTCTCTTGTCAATGTGAAAACAGTTATTATAATCTCTGTATTTTCTTAGGTCCCATTTTTCAAGCATCATCATTTTCTCACCCTCTTCTGAGTCTTATCCATATCTCTCAAGTTTTAAGGACAAATCACATTTGAGGTCCCTCACCAACAAAAAGTTTAATTGACAATTCTTACCCAATATGCTTCATTTAAGATACTATTATTCTGATCCAATAATTCCAACATTGGGGAATATTCCCTGAAAATTTTGTCAAAAAACAAGCCCCAAAATTATCTGTTCAAAAATTTTCATAGTAGTATTACATGGAATTGGAAAAATAAAAAGCAAAGTAAATGTTCAGACATAGAAGAAT